CTCCGAAAAGGATAATATCCAAAAAAATCGCGTAAAAATGTGATATATTAGAATTTTCATTTTGACTTTTGAAATGTACAATAGTAATGTTTTATTTTGCATGATTTTTTCCATTTTGACTTACTTTTTTCTAATGTACATTTGTAGTGTTTTTAAACCCTACAACACTATGTGTTGGGGGTATTATAAGTTTGATTGGGCCAAAAATTATGTAACACCTCGAAATATTGGTTTCCCACATAGGAAAGTATATATGGATCTTCCTAGCTCGCCGAGCTGAGTCGATCTAGCTATGTATGTCCGTCCGTCCGTCTGTCCGTCTGTCCGTCTGTCCGTCTGTCCATGTTAATTTGTAATCACTCTACAGGTCGCAATTATGGCCCGATCTTCACGAAATTTAGAATGTAGGTGGGTTTGAGGTCAGAATAGAACCCTATTTCTTTTGGAGATGATCGCCAAATGTTTAGGGGTTGAAATGGACCAAATACTGAAAAAATGTCGGATTTTGCAGTAGCTATACAGGACGCAATTATTGACCAATCGACGAGGAATTTCGCATGTAGCTAGAGTTTAGGGCAGGAAAGAAGCCTACCAATTTGGGTGGTCATCGGATAATATTTAGCGGGTAAAATAGAACATATCTTTTGTGTTGAAAAAATTCAAAATTTTTCATTAAACCGCGAATATTTGAAATCCCGGCTAAATCACAAAGCCATGACAAGGCTACTTCTGATCTTTACATTGATGTTAACATCCAACAAATCGGATATATAGCAAAATATGTGCGATATATATGTCTAACAAAGAGGATATGCTTGAAAGATCTCTTATATGTCGAGAACGGCTGAATTGATTTCGACAGTTCTCATTAATTCAGAATGGCCTCTTGGCAGGAAAGAAAAAACGTCTAAAAAAATCGCATAAAAATATCTCTCTATAGATGAAAATATTGATTTTGTAACATTTTCTCATATTTTTTCAATTTTGTCATATTTTTGGCATATTTTCATTTTGAATTAAACATTTGGTAATATTTCTACAGCTAACAAAACTAAGTAGTTAGGATATCAGGATATAATATACAGATCGCATTTATGGCCCGATCCTTACGAAATTTTGCATGGGGATAAGATGAGGGTCAGAATAGAAGCCTACTCTTTTTGGAGATGATCGCCATATATTTAGGGGTTGAAATGGACCAAAAACTGCAAAATTTGTCAACAGGTCGTAATTATTGCCCGATCCTCACGCACATTTGGATGGGGGTTAGCGGACATTGCAAAAGCCAAGCAGTTTTGGATGACCATCCCAAAAATATTCAATGTGCGAAATAGTTTGACAACTTTTGTAGACAAAATACGAAAATGTCCATTCCGGTGACTTTTTGGAGAATTCACAAATACAGGAAAGACGCAATTCTGACTATTTCGTTAACGCTGATTTCGTTGCGTTTCAGCCAAAAACCAATAATAAATGTTAATCTTTTGCCACGTCTGAGGGATTATAGGTCTTTGGGGAATATTGGTTCCAGATCTAGGAAGACCATTTACGTGCAATATCTACCAATAAATTGGAAACGAGCAAATTAGTTTAAGTTGCTATTATTCGAAAATTAGAGAATGAAACCTGATGGTTTTCTTTTATTATTTGTCACAATATCTTGTGGAATTCTTTCGAGTTTCTCGCCTATATAAACTGTATCGTTTATTATAGTGTTGTAGGGTATTCAACGGTCGGCCCCGCTCGACTGTAGCCTTTGCTTACTTGTTTATATTTTATTTTTGAATTCGAATATTAATACCAATTTATTTAATTGACTTGATTTCTTGAGAACTGAAATTGATAACGGGTTACATGGAAGTGTAGTACCGAATTATGTGGTGGCGAAACGGAATAGATGATATCGAAATAATTTAACGCGGTCACACGAAAGTTAAAAGATAATTACTTTTTCAAAATCGCTAGAAAAAATCATGAAAAAGAATTCTCAAAAATTCTCAAATCGGGAAAAGATCGAAAAAAATTACAATGGAATCGAATTACAAAATAATAGTACATTCTATTGACAAACTTTGTAAGGATCTTTAAAATGAAATAAGTGTTAAATAGGATGTTAACTGACATATACCCTTCAACTCGAGGGCCTACATCGTGGTTCAGCTGGAAAATGCGCAGACATTTAAACAAACAAAAATGACCGAAAAAGACTAATGGGGCTCATTTCAAAGCATGGACCTTCTTCTTTCATGTGACAATAATCCGTCCAATGAGAGCTCAAAATGCAAAATTCTTTGAGAGTACAATCAGTAAAATACCAAATTTAAAGTGTGCAAAATAGTAGAGCGAATGGGACTTTTAGTATGAAAAGGATTTATATCCTTCCAGAAATTCTTTCAAAACATTCAAGATTACTTAAATCGCTTTTGCAGGTCTTGATATCGATCATGACTCACGGATAAGGGTACAACCCGATTTCATATTTATATAACCATCTATGATTTAAGCTATTTTTGGGGTCTTGGCCACTTTTTCATTTTTTTGGCCCTTATTTGAAATTTTCAAAGTTGGTCTTGACCACCTTCATCAATTGATTTAGCTAAAAAATTTTATTTATACTACCCTGTGGTAGGGCACCATCATACAGATAATTGTCACACAGGAAAGTTTGGAGTATCCCCAAGTCCACTTTCACATCTAATGTGTGGTCAGAAAAGAAAATTTTGTATTCTATTGAATTTTTAACCCCCAAGAGAATATTGGTTAGGTATAACCCTCATATGAATGTATCCCTGATTCCAGTTATGACTGTGGTCTTGGCAACGTTTTTCAACTGATTTGGCTATTATTTGGCATCTTGGCTTTTCTGTTTCGAGGGTCTTGACCACATTTTCCAATCGATTTTGCTGTATTTAGGCTACTTTGAGAGTAGAGAACCATTGTACAGAAAAATGTCAACATACGTAAATATTTTGGTACAGTCCCCAGGGCCGCCGATCTATTGTGATTTTTACCGATTGGCGGACGACAACACGGGAATTGTTTAATCGTCATTTACTATGAACAAGAACATAGACTTTTTGGGGACGCTAATGCGCAATTTGAGGTGCTAAGGCGTAATTAACTTATTATTATTATTTTGCCCTCCTTCCATAGGTATTTATTTCTATTTAGTCGGATCAATATTTATATTAAAATTTGTTCACCTTTAAAATTTGCATTACAGACTAGAACTACGGGCCGGCAACGCGGACCGGGCCAGCTAGTTTGATATATTTCCGATTATTGACCAGACATAATACCCTTACCACTATGTGGTGTAGGGTATAACAAGTTATACCCTCTACCAATGTTCGATTATTAAAATACATTCCGACTTCTGTTTCTGATTATTCGAATTATTGACCCTCTATGGAGTCGGTTTCGAAGGAATGGGTCAATATTGTCCATTTTGTATCGGAACTAAATAAATATGATATAAATATTGCGACGAGCCAGGTTTGGACTTTAGTTTTCAATTCCGTCACCTCATATGAAATATCTGATAATATTTTAGAAAATGTTAATATGTGCCTGAGACACCGGACATAGTCGACCGACGTATTCCATTTTTATACTCCATCTAATAGAGATGCAAATATTGGTATGGACAAATTTTCAAGAAAATTGAACATGTTTATCCAATTTTATGGGAAATCATAAATTCCATATTCATCCCAGGTTTCTGATTGAGAGATATACAGGGTGCGATAAAAAACTGCAACAAAGTCAAAAGCCATATTATTTACATTTTTTTTTTAATTTTTGTTGCATGAAAGCAAAAAATGTCGGAAATAGCATCAATTTTAGAATAAGTTCAGATTTGTTCCAATTGGTCACCATTGGCACGAATTATGGACCAGCATAGTCAATTTTCTGTCACAGGCTGTAGAATCCATTACGAACTTCAAATACGACATCTCAAACAATTTCGGTGGGTTTTGTACCTAAACTCGTCAAAATGCCGAATATAGGGACATACTGATATATGGGGCCTATACGACCTGAATAATTTTCTGTCACAGACGGTAGTTCCCATTACGAACTTCAAATACCAAATTTGAAACAATTCCGGTGAATAATGATACTAAGATAATCAAAATACCGAATATTGGGAGGTACCGTTATATGGGGGCTATACGCTGTTTTCTTCCACCTGCACAGACAATTTTCCGTCTTAGGCTATAGTGTTTATTTCGAACTTCAAATATTTTATTTGAAATAATTCCGGTGAATAATGTCGCTAAAATCATCAAAATACCGAATATCGGGAGGTACCATTATATGGAGGCTATACGACGACGTAGACCTGCACAGACAATTTTCTGTCTTAGGCTGTAGTATTCATTACGAACTTCAAATGCCAAATATGAAACAATTCCGGTGAATAATGTGGCTAAAATCATCAAAATACCGAATATCGGGAGGTACCGTTATATGGGGGCTATATGAAAATGTGGACCTACATGACCCATTTAGGAACTTACCTTTACCTTACTACCTTACTAAAATATACATGTGTGCAAAATTTTAGCCTTCTATCTCAATTCGTTCGAAAGATAGCGTAATTACAACAGACAGGCAGACAGACAGTCAGAAGGACATGGCTAAATCGTCTTAGAATTTTACGCTGATCAAGAATATATATACTTTGTTGGGTCTGACATGAGAATTTCGAGGAGTTACAAACGGAATGACAAAATTAATATACCCTCCATAGTATGTTGGAGGGTATAAAAATACACAATTTGCAGACTTATTTCCATAAAATATATTTTACATGCAATACTAGACAGAGCCCTTATTCTCCAGGGGTCAATATGTCTCCAACGCTTTGCCAAACCAACCTGCCGGCAATATTTTTTCTATCTACAAATCATTTTCTGTCATTGAAAAGTTAAATTAAAATATTCCAAATTTGTGTTTCATTCATTTTGGTTCAATTTTTTTTAAATTTTAAAAAAGAAAAAAAAAAAAAAGAAATAATGGTGGAGAATCTTTCCAAATTTTTAATTTGTGGACTTCTAATAAGTTGCAGAGGTAAGAACTATCATTCACTAATGAGAGATCTAAAATTTTCTTCGTCACGGAAGACCGACGTGCGATAGTCGAATTTGGTCCATCTTCAAGCGTTTAGTAAAAAATGTCATAATGTTAAAATTTATAATCCGATCCAGATGATACTAGAATTATCCAAAATGTTGACCCGTTGTAGGAGATATTTTGGATGTATTGTCCTGGTTTTGTAAACGTTCATTTCCGAACTAGGCTTGAAACAAATATTGCAATGGGCAAAGGTGTAGCAAAACTAAGACTCTTTTTTTGCCTTCATTTGGGCAACGTCGTGATCATTATTATATCCTCCACCTGGAAAGGAGGGTATATTAACTTTGTTCGTTGTAGACCTCATAAAGTATATATATTCATAATCAACATAAAATTCTAAGTCGATTTAAGGATGTCCGTCTGTCTGTCCGTCATAATGGGTCCTAGTTCGTCATTAATGGGTCCTAGTTCGTGTGGCGAAACATTGTAATTATATTCCCACGTTTTCGTATAGCCCCCATATAACGGTACCTTCCGATATTCGGTATTTTGATGAATTTGTCTAAAAATTGGTAGTTGTGGGTCATAAAGTTTCCTTTACCCTGATGAGGAGGGTATTAAAAGATCGGCCGGCCGAATTTAATGTTTTTTTATTGATTATCAGCCTCAGCCATAAGGCTATAGTCGGTACATGTCATTTGATACGGCCAAAACGTGTCTTATCTGAAGTGCCCTTCCGTCCGATTTGGTCCAAACTTTGTGCATCCTAATATTGTTGTGAAAATTATGTCGAGTTCGGAGATGGGTAATATCGGTCCACTCCTGGTAACTTCCCCACAAAAAGTAAACATTTTTACAGACAATAATTATACCCTCAGTCATATGGCTGGAAGGTGTATATATTTGATACTGCCAAAACGTGCCTGATCGAAATAACGGTTTAAGACACTAAGTCTCTTTTGACCAAACCCGTTTCAGGACATTTGGGTGTCTGTCCATCTCTCTGGCTCTCTGCGCACGATAACTCTCGAAGGGAGCATCCGATTTATTGCAAACTTGGTACATTGTCATTTTATTGCAAAGCTCACCTTGAGTTCGGAGATAGGCAATGTCGGTTCACTCCTTCTGGTATCTCCCAAAAAAAAGGTCGAAATTTTATAAAAAAAAACGAAAAAAATATTTCACTGCATACAAAGAGAAAGGATAATCCGATTTTGCTCCAACTTTTGCAAATCCTAATATCATCAGTGCTAGGCCAGGCCATCATGTAACTCCTCCACAAAGGGTCAACGTTTCGAATAATTATAACTATTATAAAATGTGATGTAACTGGCCGATTGTCTTCAAATTACACACACCCCATTATTTCTACTAACAGAAGATCTGCTGTGAAGATGGGATATATCGGTCCACTCCTGGTACCTCCCTTACATTGGGTCAAAATTTCGAATAGCCATGAAACTCGTAAAACGTGAAATTACCGTCAGGATCGTATTAAACTCAACACAAACCAATTTTTTCTTTCCAGTCAAGACCGTTGAGGAAATTATAGACATCGGTCCACTTCTTCTGGTTCAAAATATCGAATAACCAAAACGATTATTAAATCCGAAATAAGCATTCGATGTCCTTTATATTTCACACATCCCATTATTTCTACTAAAACAAAATCTGCTGTGAAGATGGGATATATCGGTCTCCTCCTTTTGGTACCTCCCCCAGCTCATAAAACGCGAAATTAACATTCGATTCAATTTAGACTTGGCACATCTCAATATTTTCCTCAACACAATGATATAAAAATGGTAGAGATCGGACCACATCTTCTGGTTCCTCCCTCACAAAGAGGCAAAATTTTGAATAACTAAAAATAACCATCCGGTTCTCCTCAGATTTCATTTATTTCAATTTTCATTTGGTTTCCCCTGCCTTCCTCATTCTTCTCTTCTATTTTCAGTCTTGCCATTGCTTGCAACATGCCACCTTAACAATATACGGAATGAGTGGCATGTAATTTTGGAATTTAAAAATGAAGAATTGAAATTATTGCGTCAAGAGCCAATAGCCAATGGCACCGTACTCTATATGGTCTGCAATATGAACGATATTGTGGAAATGCGATGTGAGAATGGCCAACTGATATCGGATACGCCATTAAATTTTTGCTATAACCATCTAAGACCCGAGCTAAAGGCAGAAACCGATAGCGAATTGTGTCGCCATCAACTGTATAGGGTTGGCTATAACATTCGCTGTCGTGATCGGGATTACTTCTTCACCACATATTCGGTGTGTTTTGATCATCAGAAGATAAGATCGGTGTTTACCATCAGTGAAGCCTATCCATTTGGTAGATATTGAAGTTTTGGGGGGAGAGTTTCAAATGGTTTAGTAATTTCCGTTTTGTTTTTCTACCTTCAAGTTCAGGGGCGACCATTTGGCATGCAATTTGATCCCGATGAAATTTTTACCATGAACATATTCTCGGCATACAACAAACGTAATATATTTGCCAATTTTCTAAATCGTTTGGGCCACCAACAATCCTATATGTCCCCCAACGAACAGGAGAGGCGTTTCGATCGCGGTCACTTGACAGCGGCTGGCGACTTTATGACCAACACCCTAATTGCCTCAACATTCAAGATGATCAATGTCATACCACAATTTCATGCCATCAACGATGGCAATTGGCGTCTGATGGAAGAGTGGGCGCGAAGCCCCGCAAATACTCCGTCCAAGGTGTGCAGTGGTGCCTTTAATTATATCCTGCACCTAACGAATGCCGAGGGCCAAGAAGTACCCATCTTTTTTCTTGACGAACGTATTCCAGTTCCCTTGTGGACATTTAAAGTGGTGTTAGATCGCAATGGTGAGCGGACGGTGTTCGTTCAATACAACAATATTCATGATAGTAGGGTGCCACCTCAGCTGCCTGCTGACATTTGCAGAACGATCGCGTGTCCATCGACATTGCGTCTAACTCCCTCGAATTTTTTGGGTTACACCTATTGTTGTGATCCAGGACATTTTATGAATCAAGTAATGCCCAATTTGCGAGGATATTGTTAGGGGTGAAGTGAGGTGGAATTACTTGGAGTTGAATTATGAATTTGTTGGTGAAAACATACAATTAAAAAACAAATATAAATCGAAATCGGAAGGTCTTTAGAATACTTCACTTTTACAGCAAAGCCCTGAAAAAATATTTTTTGGTCACTTTGCAAGGAGAATTGCTCTCATAAACGGTTGAAGTGGAAAATGAAGTTCTTCAAATAATGTTTTTGCAAATATCACCAGTAGGTCTTCTCATAGAAGAGCAGAAGATCTTCTCATGGAAGACCAAAGTGAGTTCACGTAAAAAACGGGAAAGTCTCATAGAAGACCAGAAGGTCCTCTCATAGAACACCAGAAGGTCTTCTTACAGAAGACCAGAAGGCCTTTTTATAGAAGAGCAGAAGGTCTTCTCATAGAAGACCAGAAGGTCTGCTCATAGAAGACCAGAAGGTCTGCTCATAGAAAACCAGAAGGTCTTCTCATAGAAGACCCGAAGACCAAAGGGAGTTCACGTAAAAAACGGGAAAGTCTCATAGAAGACCAGAAGGTCTTCTCATAGAAGAAGCAGAAAGTCCTCTCATAGAAGAAGCAGAAAGTCTTCTCATAGAAGAAGCAAAAGGTCTTCTTATAGAAGACCAGAAGTTCTTCTCATAGAAGACGTGAAGGTCTTCTCATAGAAGACCGGGAGGTCTTCTCATAGAAGGCCAGAAGGTCTTCTCACAGAAGACCAGAAGGTCTTCTCATAGAAGACCGAAATGTCTTCTCAATGAAGTCCGAAAGGTCTTCTCAATGAAGTCCGAAAGGTCTTCTCATAGAAGGCCAGAAGGTCTTCTCACAGAAGACCAGAAGGTCTTCTCATAGAAGACCAGAAGGTCTTCTCATAGAAGACCAGAAGGTCTTCTCATAGAAGACCAGAAGGTCTTCTCATAGAAGACCAGAAGGTCTTCTCATAGAAGACCAGAAGGTCTTCTCATAGAAGACCAGAAGGTCTTCTCATAGAACACCAGAAGGTCTTCTCATAGAAGACCAGAAGGTCTTCTCACAGAAGACCAGAAGGTCTTTTCATAGAAGACCAGAGAAGGTCTTCTCATAGAAGACCAGAGAAGGTCTTCTCATAGACGAGCAGAGAAAGTCTTCTCATAGAAAACCCGAAGGTCTTTTCATAGAAGACCAGAGAAGGTCTTCTCATAGAAGACCAGAGAAGGTCTTCTCATAGACGAGCAGAGAAAGTCTTCTCATAGAAAACCCGAAGGTTTTCTCATAGAAGACCCTAAGGTCTTCTCACAGAAGACCAGAAGCTCTTCTCACAGAAGATCAGAAGGTCTTCCCATAGAAGACCAGAAGGTCTTCTCGTAGAAGACCAGAAGGCCTTCTCGTAGAAGACCAGAAAGTCTTCTCACAGAAGACCAGAAGGCCTTCTCATAGAAGACCAGAAGGTCTTCTCATAGAAGACCAGAAGGTCTTCGCATAGAAGACGTGAAGGTCTTCTCATAGACGACCAGAAGGTCTTCTCATAGACGACCAGAAGGTCTTCTCGTAGAAGACCAGAAGGCCTTCTCGTAGAAGACGTGAAGATCTTCTCATAGAAGACGTGAAGGTCTTCTCATAGAAGACGTGAAGGTCTTCTCATAGAAGACATGAAGGACTTCTCATAGAAGACCAGAAGGTCTTCTCTTAGAAGACCAGAAGGTCTTCTCCTAGAAGCCCAGAAGGTCTTCTCCTAGAAGACCAGAAGTTCTTCTCCTAGAAGACCAGAAGTTCTTCTCATAGAAGACCAGAAGGTCTTCTCATAGAAGACGTTAAAACTTAAGGTCTTCTCTAAGACCAGAAGGTCTTCTCTTAGAAGAACTAGGGATCTTGTCAAAGAAGTCCAAAGGGTCTTCCCACAGAAGATCCAAAGTTCTTCTGAGAATTTCAAATAATTCCCTACTTTAACGAAAATCGTGGACTATGTATTTTTTTGGAACACTAAACAATTATTAATTAATAGGTTGGACACCACCATTTTCAAATAAACTTAGCTGTCTACAGACATTATCTACTCCATGATAAGCATTCATTTTCGCATTTAAGTTTCCGTTTTGTAAAAAAGCCAAGTCCTAAATTACATTAGGCCTATTTTGTTTGTTTTTGTTGAAAATTACCCCACCACAGATAGACATCTAACATTTAGTTGCAGCAAAGACATTAAAATAATAGTCGGGAAAACCCCCCTCCAAATGCTGTTGATACATTTTCCAGCCAACTATGGATCAACGCAACATAATTGTGCCACACAATTTATGACAGCAATTTTGAAAGAAACGTAAAAATCGCAAACAAACGTTTCGACTCTATTGTAATGCGACGATGACGATAATTGTCGCACTCACTCACTCACTCACTCGCATATGCTCAAATAATTTGTCACCAATTCATAACTCACAACCTGATACATAAATAAAAAAAATTAAAAATAATGCCACCAAATGTGTATGAACGAACCAGCGAACAAATGTATGAACGAACAATTTGTTGTAAGTTGAGTGAGTGCATTGTGCGCAACACATTTGGCCAGCGCAACGGAGCTAAATGACTGAATGAATGCAACAACATGTGTAACATTTAACATAAACTCAAAATGATTACATTTTTTTGTAATATGTAGAGGGATAAGTGTGTTTGTTTTTCATTACATCATTTTAGACCAATTTTGTTGGCATAATTTAGAAAAGAAAAAATTACATTTGTAAATAATACAAATTAAATTAGCTTCAAGTGTTTGTTTGTTTGGAAGATACCACAATGAAGAAGTGTTAGGAAAATGTTTTGTCTCCTTATATGAAATCTTGGTAACTAATTGTAGAGAGTGATTTTTCAAAACAGAGGTTCCAATCAGAGCACGAAATCAATATTTGAATTGATACTACGGTCCATATACAGGGTGAGATGAAAAAACTGCATTCAACTTAAAACTGCTGTCATTTCTAAAGCACTCGCCCGACAGCTGTTAAAATTATTCCAGTGACACTTCGTTATATTGTTACAGGCGTAAATTTTTGTGAGAATTTTCCAGAAAAATAGTTATTCGTCATGGAATTCAAGCGTGATTTCTTTATGTTTGCCTAGAAAACCACAAGTGGTTATCGTTAGAGCACTCCAGCATTTAAATGTGAATAAATCGTTTGTGTCTCGTATCATCGTTCATTACCGTGATACTGGTAGCGTAGCCCGACGTCAAGGAAGTGGGCGGTAAAAAACAGCAACATCAGCAGAAATGGTTCGAAAAATAGAGAAGCGACTTGATCGATATATCGCATATCGCAATATTTCATTCGGCAAATATTGAAAAATGTCCAAGAACTAACACCGCAACAGAAAGAAAATAGACTCAAAAGAGCTAAAGAATTGTTTCGCTGAAGGTGGTGATCTGCCGAATTTGTTTTTCTCCGATTAGAAAACATTCGTCGTCGAGCAGTTTGTAAACAAACAAAATGATCGTGTTTGCTTGCCAAAGAGGTTAGCGGAAAATGTGCAGCTTCGGTTGGCCACCAGAACTCAAGGGCCTGCCATGGTGATGGAGTGGGTGCTGATGTCGAACTTTAGGGTTAAGAAAACTTCTAAAATTGTACCATTTAGTACTATGTGAATGGATAGAGTTAAAAATTAAAAAAAAATAAGTAAAAATAAGTAAGCAAAGGCTATAGTCGTGCGGGGCCGACCATGTGATACCCTACAACACTACAATATGTTAGATGCCCTCTTACATCCAAATCTATTTTGGAAAAAAATCTGTTTTCTGTTCATTTGAACCCCTAAATATTTTGCGATCATCTCAAATGCAATAGGCCCCTCAGTATCTCAAATTTAGACTCATCTATATGATTTGCTTGTATACGATATGCTGCTATATTCGTCAATGAAATCAGCATAAAAAAGCCAGAAGTTCGCCTTTTGTTTATTTCGGATATCGCCTGTAAGTAATGTTAGTATTTTTTTACACGAAAGTAGTGGTCCATTCTACCCGCTGTCCTAAACTCTAACTTCATTTGAGATTTCGTGTCCTTTGGTTTTTACTTGTGACCTTTATAACGGGTGAAAAATCAGGAAAAATTTTAGTTGTTGGTCAATTTCAACCCCTAATATATTGCGGACATCTTTGAAAAAATAGGTCTAGCCCTTCTGAGTCTAACCCTACCCTTGTGAAAATTTTCGTGAGGATCGGACGATAATTGCAATTTGTATATAATAACCCCAACCTGTGTTGTAAGGTGTCAAATTGAAAAAATCGCATGCGATAAAAAATATGAAAAAATAAAAATATGTCACAAAATATTAGAAAATCTATATTTTTTTAGATTTTATTCCTTTATATCAAGAGGGCATTCTGAATTGACAAAATTTGTCAAAATCGGTCCAGCCATTCTTGAGATATAAGCATTCTAACTAACATCGCCTTCCTTTGTATATACACATTGTATATATTTCGCTATATATAACCTATATATTTCGTCTATTTGTGGTTTCGGCGGGATTAAAAATATTCGCGGTTTAATGGAAAATTTGACTTTTATTTAACGCAAATGTTGTGGCCTATTTCACCCACTAAATATTACCCGATGACCATCAAAATTGGAAGGCTTCTGCCCTGCCCTAAGCACTAGGACCTGTAGGAATTTTTTTCAGTTTTTGGTCCATTTCAACCCTTAAATATTATGCGATTATCTCCAAAAGAAATAGGGTTCTATTCTGGCTCTATCCCCACCTCCATTCTAAATTTCATGAAGATCGGGCCATAATTGCGACCTGTAGAGTGATTACAAATTAACATGGACAGACGGACAGACGGACGGACGGACATACATACCTAGATCGACTCAGCTCGGTGAGCTAGGAAGAGCCATATATACTTTCCTATGTGGGAAACCAATATTTCGTGGTGTTACATAATTTTTGTCCCAATCAAACTTATAATACTGCCAACACATAGTGTCCACCTTAGGGTAATGGAAACACCAGAACCAATTATGACCCACAAATACCAATT